GGGAGAAAGCCAGCTGTCAGCTTGCAGATGGGGAGGGAGTAAGCCTTTAGAAATTAAAATTTCCATATCAACACTGCAGAACACCAACTTATATACTGACTAAAAGCCCCAGAGCAACAGCAAGACCCAGCAGACACAACAACCTACTGAAGACTGGGAGAGAGAGAGAGAAGCCAAACTAAATACACCAGCTCCAGGAGGCAGGATAACAATGCACAGGTGAACCCAACCAAGACAATAACGAGGGCCTCCCTGCAAAAGAGGGAAATAAAAATCACAGAGAGACACACGAGAAACTCACCATGGAAAAAAAACAAAAAAACTAAACAGAAAGGAAATCTGAAAGAAACCAACAAAGACGAGGAGGATGCTGAGAGGGGAAGCACTGGTTACCTGGTGTAGATACACAGCAAGTTAAAACATAGATACAAACATCCACAAGTCTTTATCCTTGCTCTCATAATCTAATGTTTGTGACTCACACTGAGGATAACAAGGCTCAGGTGGGTCCAAAATGGAAGAGGAACAGAGGAGGGAAAGTCCAAAAAGCCACTTCAGGATTAAAAGAAAGAGGGAAAACATGCAAGGTGAAGAATGGATTAATAAAAAATGTATTAATAAATGCTGCTCTGTCACTGTGTGTACATGAAAGCTGAGTGGTGTTTGTTTCTCTTCACATCTTTAATTAGTGGGTCAAAATCTGAGAGCCTGAAGTGAGCGGTGGGCAGATTTTCAGGTCTGGAGATTCAATGCTTTAGTTCCTGTTGAATATTCTTAATGCTCTGCTATGTATCTAGTTTTCTTTGTTTTTGTTTCTACTTTAGTTTTTTCTATTGTAGCTACCTCACATCTTATTTTGAAGGTTAGTGCTTGCCCAGCCCTCATTAGCATCACATGTGTGATTGCCTTCACCTGTTCGCGGCTGGTTCACTGATGGTTTATAGGTCTGTCCTTTGGGAGTGCTTCAGTTTGTCCTTCTGATGCTCATGGTTATGTCTGACTCTGGTCTAGGGCTTTGTCAGTGCCTCGTTTTGATACTCAGTCTTTGTCTCCCATCACAGGTCTAGCTAGAGGGGAATATTGTGAACTATCTTGGGACTATGCATGCTGCAGTGTTCTGCATAGTAAACCTGCTTTTCCTGATCAGTCAGATGGGTTTACTAGAACTTGAAACATTACAGGAAAACCATCAAGGCTGCAGCAAAACCATGCAATGAGCTCTTGATCTTGTTGAATAATCGCTCTAAAGACAAAATACTGCAATCAGTTTGCAACTGAATTGGTTTAGTTTGCAATTCTAGGCAATTTGTCTTTAACTTTATCAGTTTATTTTATTAGACAATGTGTGCATGTAGATGGGGGGGCACTTCAAACTAGCTTATATTCAGAGTTTGGCTAGAACCTTAAATCAAATTTATGATCTGACATGCTGGACGATTAATGCTTCCTGTTGCACATTTAGAGGAAATGTGAAAATGAAATCTTAATGCTGAGGAAGCAGATCATGTTCCTTGTTCAAGGGACCCATAAAGGGACCTTATTTTGTCACATGGCGTCTTCCAGTGGAAGATGGTCATGTCAGAATCAGAGTATGTTCCTGTGCACACGGCTCTAAACAGTTCTTTAGGTTCCCTCACCCACCTTTGAGCTGATGTCAGAACATTCATAAAAACTAATAATAGATCTGCTGTTCTAACCTTCAGTTTGAGTTGGTTAAAATCTTGAAGGAAGAGGAGCTCAAACATTTATTTTAAACGATCAAACCTGCAAACCTGCTCTGAAGCCAAAGCACAAATGGAGAGACAGAGAAACGAGTCCAAAATGAGGAATTGGATCACTTTGGTCTAATACCTGGTGAAGCTATATTTAAGCAAGGCAGGGGTAAACTAAATTACATGTCTGCTTGTTTCCTTCACTGGTGTAATTCTTATCTCGGCTCCTGATGTAAGGACAGAACAACCGAACCAGACAAATGAGAAATCCTTGTTGTGTCAGTCCAGATTATATTGATGGGGACTCCTGACAGACTGCTACATGTCCACAGAGCTGCTGCTTTTCAGCTCATTTTAGGAATGAGTGAATTTCAGGAAGGACTATGAACGGAGCCATCAAACCCCAACCTGGCTCTAATTTGAGTTGAATCATTTAGTTTTTGTTAATGGTGTTTTTGTGATTATACTAAAAGTTTTAATGAGTACAGGGTTAAAATTGCCGTGGGAGGTGGCCCTGAGAAACATAACCCGCGTGGTTTCCTCTTGAATCTTTTTGCAGGTTTTCCCTCCAGCTGTAACAACGCACAAAGCATCAGGGAGGGTTAGACGGATGTTTTGAGATCACAGATTTGATTTGAATCAGCAGAGGGCCACAGCTAAATCTCCTTGTTCGGATTAAACAAATGCATATAAATTTAAATAACACACACACAACACACACACACACACACACACACACACACGCGCTGACCCACCACCAGATGGCGTTTTTTTAAGCATAAAAACGTAAACTTTTTTTTTATGGATTAAAAAATAAAAGAATGTTGTTTGATATATAAGAAACATTCTAAATAATCCTTTTTTTAGGGGGAAAAAGCAATGAGCTATGAACTAGCATATTTTGGATGAATATCATATTTTTATGAATATCATATTTTTATTACTTTTATTACTGTATTACTTCTCAGGACCATAAAACTTTATTGGGGCCATAAATCACTCAGTTTGACATAATGGGTATAATATCACTCTCTCGTGTGCATTTTTAGCCTCTGAAACACATCACTGCTGTGTCCCAAATATTATGGAGCCCTGAAAACAAACTGCAGAAATGTATGTAAATAATATTTAATCAAACTTAATTGTGAATGAAAGTTTCTCCTGCTCTGATTGGAGGTTCTGAGCACAGACTGGTGTCTGTGATGTTTGTGTGCACAAATCAAACTGACTCCGCTTTTCATTCAAAGTCTTTATTAAAAAGCTGCTCACAGACACACTAAACCAAACGCTTATTACAGTGGTTGGTTGGTCCACTCTCCTGACCTGAACCCCTCAGAGAATCTGATATGAAGCTGAAGATGAGAAACAGCTCAGACACCATAATTTTCCTCAAATACGTCCAATGGAAGAATTGAAAAGCAGAATTCATGAGCACATAGGTTTCATGTAAAGATGAAGCAGACAGTAAAGTGAGCGGTCCACACACAGAGTCATCGTCTACTTTCTGTCAGTAAACCCTCACAGATAGATAAACAAATGTTCTGAATGCACTGTGACTAAATGATCGTCGTCATTATGAGGTTATAATGTTAGAGAAACATCTGGGTCCTGTTCTAGGCAGCAGGTGCAATAACCCTGTTCAGGAGGAGGTGACTGTGAGATAGAAAGCTCAATCACTTCTTTGGAAAATGGCATCAACATTCCCAGACTATCACTTAGACGTCAGTGAGATAACCCAGACCTAAAATTTCTGATGAGCATCAATAAAAGATCCTGTGACATGATTTAGTAAACAACTGTATTCTTGTATCAGACTAAAAACAAAGCTCACATTTTCCTTGTGACTCTCACACTCTGTACTCTGTGCTTCATCTCATTCTGCAGACATAACGTTACACCTTCCACCTTCCATGTGGAACATCTCACTGAGGCTCATTAGTTAGCAGTTAGTAAAGGAAGAACAAACATCTTCAAGCTTGTGTTCTCAGACCATCACTGAGCTTCACTGAGCAGCAGAAACATACATGATCTTGTCAGAGTGGAGGTGTGAGCTTCACGTCTTCTCCTCACCCATCAGCTCCTCGTTCTTCATTCGGACTAACAGACCCCTCAAACTCTTCGATTTCTCACCGAAGGAAAGGAGTTATCTTTGTCCAAATGGCCAGCGAAGCCCTGTCCGCCTTGGGTTACTGACAAGTTGAGCTGATGAAGAAAAACACATAACGTCACATGACCCAGAAACACATGTCTTTGATTCTGTCACATGATTTAAAGATTAGAGATGTCATCAGAAAGAGATGAAGAAGAGCCATCAGCTACCAGCTTCAAACTTTACGATTATTCAGAGCATAATCTAATACTAGTGACAGCACAAATTCCACTGTGTGTCTCACCCACTGTCCAATATTACGTATGAACTAATTACCCTGGATTATACATGTGCTTATTATACTTATATATTGCACCTCAGTAGATATATGCAGCTGTCCCTGGTAAATGCAACATGTGCTTGTGACGCCTGATGAAGGCTCTAAGGTCCCTGTTGATACAGCTCTATGTACTCTAGGATCCCTCTTTGGGTGTTGTGTTCTCTTTCTGTTTCCCATTCACTCCCTTGTGTATATAAGGCTTGTGTTTTCCTTTGCCCTTTGTGCTGTAAGCCTCTTTGTTTCTGGTTTCAGTTTTAGTTCTGTGTTTCTAGTTTCCCAGTGTGTTGTTCTGAGTTTCATACTCAAGGTTTTGGTTTGTGTTTCTGTGAGTTTATGTTATGATGGATGTTTCCAGCAAATAAAGCTGCCGTTCTAAGTTTTTTTTTCTGTGCACGAGTGTCTGCATTTGGGTCCACATGCATGCTGCATAACCTCACATGACAATCTTAGCCTCTATGATGTCTGACAGGAGCTTCCATGTGGTACTGAGGTAGGTTATCCTCTTGTAGTTGGGTGGGACCGGTCCCTTCAGGGGATCCTTGGGGATCAGGACTGTCCAGCCTTCAGTCAGCTATTCCAGGTGTGTCTCATCCGTTAGCGGCAGGTTCATTTGCCCTGCCATACACTCATGGAGTGTGGTCAGCTTCTTTAACCTGTAGGTATGGACCATGCTGGGGCGCAGTGATGTCCACTGCTTCAGCAGGTGTCGTTACCTGTGGAGCAGAAATGAGCAGCTCCGCCCGAAAAAGTTGTTCTAATGTTACTTGGTGTAACTCTTCACATGCTTTTCCTTTTCCACCTTCTTCTTTTTATGTATTTACTTGTGAAAGTTCTTTCTAATGAATTTCCCTCTCAGCTACACCAGGCTCGATTACAGAAGCAGCAGATTTACAGTTTCATGTCTCCATTGATTGTGTCAGTGATTCACACAGGTGGGTGATGACAAGCAGATCTCACTACCTAAGAAACGTGAAGGAAGAAGGAACTAAAACATCATCTATTAACTTCAGCATTTCTTTACTGCACCAAACAGCAGGGTGAAGCCACTGAATCTCAGCTCACTGTAAACCGTACACACTTTATAACACACTCCCGTACCTTCTACAGTCTTAAGCCTTTTATGTTCACAATACAGGATGACGCCAAAGGCAACAATCAGGACAACCAGGAGAAGCAGGGCACCTGCGAGGACTCTGGGCCATAGTGGAGGTTCTGTAATCAACGCAAACAACCACACCATCATCGAATGTGATTCACATCAGAGTTCACTTCTACTCTGACCTTTGACAGCACTGACCTTTTACCCTCAGGTATACTTCTGTCCGCCTCAGATCTCGTCCATACTTCCGGGTGGTGCAGGTGTAGCTTCCACTGTCAGAGACTGTAGGGTTCCTCAGAGTGAGGCTGAGGTCTCCAGTTTGCAGAGCGTCAGCTCTCATTGATGTTCGGTTGGAGTAACGATGGTTTTGTTCTTTAAGATCATCTCCGCTCTGCAGACGCACGTGGACTGTTGGCTTCTTGAACTCATCACAGTCCCACACTGCTGCTGTGGTGTCGCTGGAAACATCCTTTGCTACCTGACAGGGCAGCAGGACAGAATCCACCCCCTCATACACCTCCACACCTGAGGCATGCTGAGAAACTGAGGAGAGAAACATGAAACGGGTGATTCCACAAAGTTGAATCTGTTCATCTGTAGCATTTTCAGTGGGAGACTTCTTCAGTCTCAGCTGACTGCAGGTTTCTCAAACCTTATAAACAGGACATTTGCACAATAACTGAAACCTGCCCACTGAATGAACAATAGGCAGTGAGGTCAGTTCCTTCATCATTAATATGCAAATTGTCATGACCACTGATCAAATACCATTGGGTGTGCCATGGGTTCCCCAGTTCACGCACTGTGGGCAATTTGTACACGGAAGAAGTGGAAAAGAGGGCTTTGCTATTCTACCCTGGAGCACCACCAAGTCATTGGTTCAGATATGTGGATGAGACCTGGGTGAAAATCAAATCTCAGGACGTTCCACATTCCACATTTCATGGATCACATTAATTGGTGGACCGACACATCAAATTCACCAGGGAGGATATGAAGAGTGGCAGGTTAGCCTTCTTAGACTGTGAGATTTCCATCAGTAGTGGGGGACATCTAAAAGCTGATGTGTACCGTACATATGGATCAGTATTTAAGGTTTGACTCTCATCATCCAGTGGAGCATAAACTGGGTGTCATCAGGATGCTACAAGCAAAAATGTCTGGCACAACTTCACCTACTTCCAAGGTGCATGAAGAGGGTGAAAAAAAAAATCACAAAACAAACTCCAGCACACTTGAAGGTAAGACCAACGCTTTTCAGCTTGTGGCCTTCATCAGGGTCCTCATCAGGATGCTAACACACAGAGCGAACACCATCCCCACAGACACAACGGCCAGGGAAGGAGAAGAACATCACGTCAGGAGGGCCCTGAGTAAATGTGGTTATCCCAGCTGGACATATATCAAAGCTGGAAAGGCGCCAAAAGAAAGCTCCAGCCAATCCAGGAGAGAAGGACAACCGCTGCCTAAGAGAAAACCTGCAGTGATCCCACATGTGTCAGGAGTATCGGAGCAGTTGAGACGCATTTTTTAAACCCCAAAACACGCTGCGCCAAAAACTGGTCCACCCCAAGGATCAGGTCCCC